AGAGAATTTCACTCAAATGAAAGACGTTTTGTACTGTGGCTTCCTGTGATAGCAGTCAGTGACCACAAGGTTTCTACAGCTTTATCTGCCTAACCACAAATCAATTTGATGGCATCCATATCCAAGAGGTACCTAAACTTAAGTCTGTACTTTGACCATAGCAGTGCAACTCAGGGTGCAAAACAATGATTCACTGGAAAACGGCGGAGAGAGAATGACAGTAGGGAAAGGAAAATACTATTTCAGCAGAAAGCCCTTATCCTTCCCTGGTACTGAGGGACACAAGAAAATACCACTTTTGCAAACTGGGGATACAGCCCTGTGAAGCTGATGCCAACAGATGGGGCAAACCAGCTTCCTAAAAGTATAGTGACTGCATACACTGTGTATAGACTTATCTTGGAGACAGACAGAAACAGCTCCAACTCTCTCCCAGCCTGTTTCTATTTGCTTTCCCCCATGAACTGTGACTTTATTGAGGTTGTTCAGATGAAAGTCTTTTTTTCTGGATGTTGTTCACTGACAAGGTGGTTGCCATGCTGTATTTATGGTCCTCCTGACATTTTGTGATAGTTTCTCTCACAGAAACTTTTTACAGAAGAGGAACTGATGTTCAAGCCAAGGGATGACTTGCCTGAAGTTGTTTGGAAAGTCCATGGTAGAACAGATTGTCTACCAAATTTGTACTCCCTGCCTCATCACAAAGCCAGTGTCTCTGGTACCCTTTCTTCCTTGTTTCATTTTCACCTTCTACTTTAGTCTGCTTCTGTCAAGCTCACTCATGTGCTTTTCAGTCCCTTCTTCTCCTTGCCAGCTGAAGCACGTGGCTCGGGTGCCCTGCTGCAAGCCTCTGCCCTCTGATTTCTCATGGTTCTCCATTTGCTCCATCCCTTGCTCTCACGGCTGCAGATCACCACAGCAATAGCAGAGGGCTGGTTAGGATGAACATAAAATAAAAGAGTAATTGTGACTGTAGCCGAGGCAATATGCGTGTACAAATGAGAAGTAGGGCCTTGGGAGAGCCCTGGGCAGGTTTCTTGGTTTATACAGTGGATAGAATCTAATATGACAGACTTGCCAGATCTTGCTCATCAAGGGTAAAACTCATACAATTAATTCCCACCTCATTCTCTCCCTCAGCAGGCAGCTTTTGCTCTGTGTTTTCTCTGTGGCATTGCAGCTACTGTCTCCCCTGTGTCCCCCATCCATTCCAGGCACAGCCCGTAAGTGGGATCCACTGAAGAACATCTGGGGTAACAGGGGTGCCACAGAGGAGGACACAGACCTCTCGTGACATGACGTGACAATGGCTCACTGTCATGTGAGCCAGTCGGCCACGTGCAACTCGCATCAGTATAATGCATGGAAGAGAAAAAGGGTTGGCAGAGAAGAAAGCAAAGGCAGTGGATACAGCAGTTGCTATGCAAGACTGTTGAAATGATCTGAAACGACTATTCTGGGGGGATCTATAATGCAAGGGAACTCACATGTGTGCATCCTTCAACAGGCAGAGTGAGCTGCAGCTCATCTCTACATGTGCTTTCATTTGGAAAAACAGCTAATTATATATCATTCACACTCTGCTATAATTATTCTGTCTCCAGAAACAAATTTTATGTGCAGTGTTGAAAGGGTCTGTCAATGCCACTGTAGGCCTTTGGGTGAGTGAGCTTGTGCAAGCCTGATGTTTTGAGTAGGGAGAGTTTCTCTGAAGTATCAGAACTTTTTATGTGTTTAAGTTGTGATGAGAAAGGAGACCTTTCTCACCATATGTGTGTCTTTCCAAGCAGGGAGTCTTAAAAGCAACTGATACAGTGAACATGATATCTGACTGTACAGCCAGTTACAGAGATTCTTGCCTTTCACAATCTTCCTGTCACTGTCCCATTTATATGGATGCAACTTTTGGTGCAATTGCAGCAATTGCTTACAAGGGAAACGACTCAGTTATGTATAAATGTGGTTAGTGCCGTAAGTGTCTTGAGAAATTATTAATCATAATGGAGCAGATCTTCAGATGAATCAAGTTAATATGTGTCTCAGAGAAAAGTGTGCAGGGCAAGATGACATAAGCTAACAGAGAGAGAGATATTAAAACGGATCCAAAGAGAATGTTATGAAAAGAAATTTAGAGTTTGCTCTACCTGTGCCACAGGTATGTGTCCCTTGGAGACTGCTATAGTGGCCAGAGATTTATATGTGCTCTCCCCTATCTAGTCCTAAACAACAAGAGAAGCAAGAGACATAAAGCTGGGCCTTTCATGTCAGTGCTTATGAATTTGCTGTCCAAAGACCACAGGTGCTTGGTAAGACATTAAAGGTTTTCTACTAATGCTGTAACAAGACGCTCTGAAAAAAAATACACACCTACATTCCTGCTCACAAGCAACAACAAAAAGGAGAGAGAGAAAGTAAATTTATACTTATATAAATTTAATTTATATAAACAGAAGGAGGAAAAAATAAAGGCATATACAAAATTTTAGTCTAATTTTTGGTTGTTATAAAGGAAAAGCATTGAAATATGTCTTTTTTTTTTTCTTTCATAAAGACTGGATTGGTAAGAAACACTGCTATACTCTGCCTCAGTGCAATCCTTTTGGTCACCTTTCTGCCTGATTTGTACCGCAGACTCTGACAAAGCTCGTGCCACAGATCTGTCTCTCTCCCTCCCTTTCCATCCCCTTTCCCAGCTGAGGAGCTCACACATTATGGTGAAGACTTGAGGGCTCAGCTCTCACTGTCTCCACTATCGCACTTCAGTCTTATCCCCCGGAGAGTTATCACTTTCCTGATTGGCAAGATAATTAAAGGGAAGCCCACTTCACACATCAGCTGCTCCCTTTGCAAAGCTTCATGCGAAGCTTTCTGCTTTATTAGGGAGAATTCTTCCCCGTTAGCCAAATGAGTGATATGGGCTCATCCCCTTTTATCTGAGGCATCACATCATAGTGACAGCAAGAGATTGGAACCCTGTGATCCAGTGGTCAGAAGTGGTGATCCCGTGACGTGATCCTCTCTCCCTTGCATGTGTATTCCTGCTTGGCCTTTTTCATCAGGCTGCCCAGCTGTCACATCCCCTTCTCTGGTGGTGATTTCCAGCTGCCGGTTTCCTGCTACCCCTTCTCTGACCTGTGATTAAAGTGGCTGTGGGAGTTTGCTGGCTCTGGGAACTGTCATCACAGGCTTTAATGAGTATGTGGTGATGTGGCAATGCATCACCTTACAGTACGGGGACACAGCATAAGAAAGAGGAAGGGAACAAGTAGTGAACTAAACTCCAGCAAAGGTTGTGTCTGCTCAAGGACGTGGTGGCAGGCAGCTGCAACACGTGTAGGTTTTTGTCATGTAGTTACGTATGTCGTGCTCTCCTACACTGATTTCCACCAGGTGGGAGAATCTCCAAGGATTAAAGCTAATCTCAGTGGGGAGACCCCAGGATTTCTCTCTGTCAATTACAAAACCTACCCAGCTCATCTGTTACCAGCTTTTTGCCTGTACCTTTGATCACAATTACTGATTTCTTCCTAAAACTGGGGGCAGATATGAGTAAGACAGTAATAATGCCTTTACTCCTCTTCCCCCTCTAGGAAGGAAAAATGGTCACGAACTTGAAGATCCAACTGTCTAAGGCCAGGAGCTGAGCGTGACTCCCTGTTGAAGACAGACTGTCTTGCTCAGCGACTGCTTCTGCTCTCCCACTGTCAGAAAATGTCCTGAGCCCAGGAACATCCCTGCAGGCAGACACTAGTTCCTCCTATTGCTTCTGCTGCACGGCCTCTGCCTGGGGCCTGGTAGGAGTATGAAGTGAAACTTCTATTAGAGTATAAGTGTAGGTCATGAAACTTGGTCTTGAATGGGCTGGTGCCTGCCCTCATGCAGAAAACAGCTTTGTTTTGAGATATTTAAGAAACAGTTCACAGGTCCACATGGAGGAACAGGGAAACCTGTGTTTGTTGAGCTTATCTGTCTGAAGCCAAGAACTCCTCCAAAGTTTCAAAGATTTTGGAGATGGGGTGTATGATGTAACTAGAGGCTTATACTTTCTAGCTAGTAGAGGTTGTCCTCAAACAGGTCTAGATGGCACTGAAGTACATAGCAGTACAGTACATCCACCATGATGAAACTATGAGCAAAATTGGTTCCTGCAGGCTTACAAGTACAACAGATCTCTACAGCCAAACTCGGACCCCAGTGAAATCTTTCTGTCTCAGATTTCAATAGAGACAGGATTTTGCCCCCACATCTACTTTCATCAGAATAACCTTTTTTGGTCCTGCACACTGCTCCTTAGCCAGCACGCATCCCAAACCAGAGATCTGTCCAGTGCCTTCTGCCCATTTAAATCCCTGCCCATCTTCTGCAAAGATTCATTTAATATGAGTTACTGCTTTTTCATTATACTCTTATTTTAGGTATCTGTAAGGCCTTCCATAATCTGCCTGGCTATGCTATCCCAGCCTAAACTGGGTCACTGTTTTTGTTGCAATTCCTTTCCTATACTGTACCCCAGTCATTTCCTTACACCTCCATTCCCTCTGCAGTGAGACTGCAGGTTTCTGAGGACAACCCATCTAGAGGCACTAAACCCAACAGGATTATGCCTACCAGAAAGCTCTGATTCACATCTGCCTCTCAATGGTGAGAGTCCCCCATCCCTTGATGACCCAGCTGATGTCCCCACAACTGTGCATTCCCACAGAGGCATCCCACAGAGGAATCCCACCCAACCCTTTGCATTCTTTCTAGAAAATCTGGCTGGATCACAGCACTGCTGTGGGCATAAGAAAAGCTGCCCTGAAGGTTGCCTTTAAAGCCGCGAACTGATGACGTTGTCAGCACATAGTGTTCATTCCCAAGTCATGAAGTTTATTCTGGGACCACTTGAGAGCTTCAAAGGTCCGTCCCCTTGCCAGGAAAATATCTGTGCTGTTGAGCTCTCCTTCAGATTCTCTCCACATGCCATAAAGGAAATGTTCAGAAACCTAATCTGAGGAGGATCGGGCTGCGAATTCTCCTGTCTCCATCGACTTCATGAGGCACGAAATCTGAGGGTGCCGTATGAATCAGGCGGCCTTTCTAATGCACACCAGCTGTGTCATGTGCCTCCAGCAGGGAGGCAAGCTCTCATGTGTCCCCAATGCTTCAGACTCTGCTCTTGTTGGTACCCTGCTCGCTGAGAAGGACCCTATCGCCTGTAGATAGGACCGCTGCTAGGTAAGCAAATAGGAATGACATGTTCTTCCCTTGGGATAAGAGTGAGAGATGAAGGATGGTCTTGTGACTGAGGCACTGAGCTGTGACTCAGAAAAATAAAAATTTCTGTTCTCGTCTCTGTTGCTCAATTCTTGAGTGACCTTGACAAGTCACAGTTCCCATCTTTGATCTGGGGAAGATATTGCTTCCTTTTTCCTTTCTCTAATCTGTTTCAGTCCTCACTTTTTGTGACAGACTATCCTCAACAGTATGCTTGTGTGTCATCTAGCACAGTTAGCCCTTCACTCTGGGTGAGTCTGTGTGCTATTATGATATCCCTAAGCAGGAAGAGGAGTGGAGCCTAGGGCATGCGTGGGCAATGCACTCATCCTGACAGCTTCTTGCTGGTCCTGTTCTTTAGGCACATTTTGACTCAGTAGAGGCTGTCACAGTCTCTTGAGCACGAACCCCTTGGTCTGAGCTACAAATAACTACCACAGCCTCAAATGGATAAACACCAGATGCTAAACATTCACTGTCAGATGCTGCATTGTAAGTGAAGGCAGATAGTTAACCTACTTTGGGTACCTCGTCCAGGATGTCAAGATGTGCCCTCAGTTCTGCTGACACAGACCTGAGGAGATAAGCTAAATCAAGCTACATAGCCCTCATGACAGAGAGCTTATGTGCCATCATTTGGAAGGCCACGGAAGTGCCAAATGCCTTGACAGGATTTGGAAAGGAGATGACTTCAGCAAAGCAATGGATGTTTTGGAAATTATATGTAAAGTGCCTATAGTTGTACAGGGGATGTCTGAAAAATGGAAGCCACTTCCACAAGACAGAGAGTGCACGGAAATCACCTGGGAGAGGAAGGAAGAATATGTGCCCATGCAAAAGAGACATTTCCTCAGTGGAACATACCTCTTGGTAGGTTTTTTCTTGGGCTGTATGATCCCAAGTTAAATCAGCTATTGAGAATGAGTCTCCTCATTTTTTCAATGCCTGGAATTCCTTGAACTCCTGTCTCTGAATAACCCCTTCAATGCTATGTGATTTCAGGTATTCCTTGCTGACAGCAAAGGCAGATTTAGGGAAAGGGACAGTTTTACAGAGATGCTGTAGGCTCTGAAGGACAAGGTCCTCTTTCATCAGGAAAGAGCTTTACAGGCTCTTCCTGTTATTTTGATAGGCTAGTTTGAGACTCAGTGCTGGCTTAGATCTAGCATGAAGCTATCTTTGCTTCAGCCTTTCTCCCAGACCAGCCGTGATGGATGCCTCAAGAGCTCACTATGGCAGTTACCACCAGCTTTCCTTATTTTATTGGGAGTTTCTCAGCAGTCAGAGGTTTTGTGTCAGAGTTATGGGTCAGCTTTCTTTTTATTTAGTTAGAGCATGTTTCCCTGACAGTTGCAGAGAAGAGCTTTAAAATGTTAGAGGTTTAAAAACTAGAAAAAAATTTTAAAAGAATTCCTGATTTTGAAAAAATAGTTTTTATGTTAATATCATCATTACTGGTTGCCCCATTTGTGATTTTTTTAACAGATTGAGTTTTTCAGAGATTCTGAAAAGGGAAAATGAGATAGTAGCTAGTGTATTTGTGTAATAAATTTTCTGCAGGATTTTAAGGTAGCTCAGGCAAGAAAGGTGCGATAGGTTAATTGCTTTCAGTGTATTTTCTTCCCCAAAAGTTGTTCCCTTTGAAACAGAGTGCCCGAAGTAAGTGCAAAACTTCACAAAAGTAACTGGCTAATGCAAGTGAAGCTGAGGGCTTCTAAGCGTTAGGCAATCTGCATAGATAAAAAATACATTATAAAGTTGTCAGAATGGATCACATTGGGATTGCACATGTGTTTTGGCATTTCCATTGGCACGCCTCCACGTTTAAACAAGCCGTAAAACATGGTGGTATGCTGCGACAGGGTGTCAGAGACCGCGCTGCCCCGGCCCGGGAGTCACCTTTGCCTCTGATTCCTGCCGAGTCCCCTGGTAACGCACCACAACATTGCTCCACACACGCAGGCCTTTTGCTTGACCTTCCAGACAGGCAACAATGCCCAGCCCCAAGTCCTTAATTTAATCTTCGACTGCGGTAGCAAAACCAATCGGACCCTAAAATTTCTTCCTTGAATAAATTAGCGACAGTTTAGTGTTGTTTTTACCACAACACAATTTGTTAACAACTCTTAAGGGCCTTCGCTATCAAAATACCCCACTGACTCGTACAGGCTCCACCACAGATTACGGAAATACAATCGCAGAACAACAGTCTTGCACATAGCTTCAGTCCCGGCTTGGTCTACCATGCCTAGTATATCCAGTCTGCAAATCTAGACAGCATCTAGGAACTCTCATGGTCTCATCCCGCAGACACATCAGCAGTCCCACCAAGCCCCCAGGAGCAGCCAGTTGGTGGCTCCTCACCTGCCTGCAACCGGCCAGCAGTCCAGGGGCAGTTCTGTTGATGTTACAGTGCTTGGCCATAAGCCCTGGGGCAGGAGTGAAGTGCTGTTGGATGGGAGATTGCTGGGTAGTGGAGGCATGGAGTTGGGGCATTGTGGTGCCAGGGCACTCAGCCCAGCAGAGCCTTTCTTATTTTGCTAACACAATCAGGAAACGTTCGCTGCCCTTGATGCAAGGACAAGGTAACTGCTCTGTTACTGTTTCCCCTGCGTGTAACTTCTCAAAGGCTCCTCTTCCACTTCCATCTGCTTCCTGATAAAAACATACCAGCCTCTGAACACAACGCTGATGAAACCTCATGTTTTCTTCTTCCCTCTAATATTAAGTGTATGGTAATATAAGCAATAGAAGGAAGTTTATGAAGGAGCTGGCTGAAGGAGGTGTATGAAGGACCTGGCTGTCTGTTGGCGTCTTAGTCAGAACTGTCCCTTGTGACAAAGTGCATGGCAACTCTACTTTGCCAGCCTGAAGGTTGAGGGGTTTGCCAGTTGGATACTCTTCCCCAGGCTAGTTGACACCATGTGCAGTCTCCATCACAACAGCATCCACACAAGCTGTAGTCAGGACCAAGTGGTCATAATGGTGGCTTCTTTCCACACCTCACAGGCTGCAGTGCAGTAATAACAGCACCTCTTTCATTTCATTGTCTCCAGCCTTAGTAAAAGGATCACCAGCCGAGAACAAAATGGTAAAGAAAAGGCTCTACCAGTGAGACAAAGCTGATTTATGGCCTAAAGGGAATACGAGAACAGGTCTAAATGGTCATATTGGTATGTGCTTGACTCAAGCCCTACAGCCATCCACACTACTTCCCTGCTGGTGCTTATCTGGGCCCATTCTGGTGTTTTTCTGGCTCCCCTTGGTGTACTTGAGGGCTGCCACCACAGAGAGTGCAATGGTGGCCTGAAAGAAGAAGGAGGAGTGCAGCCATCCAAGCCTGGAGAGAGAGAGACAGCAACAGCACCTGGGAATATAGAAGCCTCAGTAAAAAGAGAGAAGGTATAAAGAAATTGGCAGTCCTATGGTGTAGAGTTGAAGTTCTCTTAACCCAGGATTTATGATGTCCCATCAGTTATGAGAAAGGTGGACTATTTTCCTCATTTTGTTGTTCCTGCATAGGCTGTATATTATGAAAAGACTCTCTTGGCAGTGGATTTGCATGAATAATGTGGCTGTACTGTACCCAAGTAAATCTCACTTTGTTCTCAAGCAATCCCAATTGTTGTTCATGCAGTCCTGGAGTCTTAAAATGCTGCCTGCCTGGCAAAAGTTTGGCTTTGGTAATCAAAAGGAAGTAGGACAGGAATCGTGTAGGACAGGAAACCCTCTTCAGGATTGCAAGGATGTGGAGATTCTAAGGTTGCACAAAACAAACTTCACCCACTGTGGAGCTGTAGTTACTTCTGCATTCAACAGCAGCTGTTTGGTACTCTGTGACACCATGACGTACCAAATCCTTCCAGGAAATTGAAAACAGTCAAGCAGACACTGCTAGGACATTCATGGTGGGAGGAAGTACTAGGAATTTTGATTGAGGTATACCATTTCCAATAGTGACCCTCTAGAAAAGGCATCTTTAAAGACTTGGTCTGTTCTTGCTTTTACAGTGCATCAGAGAGCATCTTCAGAAGTGTAAGACTGCACGATACCATGTGAGGGTATTGGATCAACCATTGAGAAGGGTTTTCTTTAAGGTCTCCTATCCAAATACTCATAGATGTAACTCAATGAGGATGAACAAGCAAGACCACAAAAAAGTGGAATAAATAAGTATTGTTTCAAGTCAGTGAGAGAATAACTAAACAAAACATGCTGAGCTCTTTATTTCTAAAAACTTAGTCAGAGAAACCAGTCACCAGGCAGCAAACACCTCATAACCTGAGGATCTCTAGAAAGAGAATTGTGGTGTAAACGTGTTTTGTAACTAATTAAACTGGGAAAAAAAAATATTTTTTTTTTTCAACTTAAGATCCTCTCATTACTAACAGGAAAAAACAGAGAGGATGCTGTGGTAGCTTGAAGCTGCTGGTGTGACTAAGGTAATTAAAGCGGCCCATATGGATTTCAGACCACCCACCTACCCACCCCAGCCCTTAGTCAAGTCAAAACAAAGCATTACAATTTTGAAGAGTTGCAGCTATGGAAAAATATAGGCCTCTAAAAAGCTTGTTATTAGACGCTGCCGAGATAATTTTTTGATGAGCATTTCTGTTAATTTGGCAACATAAATAAATCACCAGGGTTTTTTATTACAGTATGTAATGTGAGGTGGAGGCTCTTTAGCAGATATTCCCCTTCAGGGCTTGTCTCTCAGGCGTAGGAGATGCAGGTGGCAGGGCATGGTGACATCTTCTCAGGGTTGCCAGTTTTCACACATTTATCTCAGTGACCCAGATTCTCCTTGCTACGATGTGGTAAACCAGGAATAATTCCACAAAAATCACTGGTATAGGGCCAGTGTGAGGTCATCACTGGAATGTGAAGTCACAAGCAGCTTCTCCCTATAGAGTAGCAAGGGACACCCTGCTCCCAGACAACTGAGTTCCTACAGATGAGTG